CCCCGCCCCCTCCGCCCGGCCGCCCCCTCCGCCCCGGGCCCAAGCAGTCGTGGCCTTGCCCCTGCCTTGGCGTCCCGCTAGCCCGGGGGAGCCCGCAGGAAGTAGGGGACTGCAGGGCCAGGGGACCCCGAATCACCGGGACCCGCTGGTCTCGCCCCCACTCTGGGCAGCCTCCTTGGCGCCAGCGCCTTTGCCTCCTATTCCAGGAACTTTTATTGAGCACCTACGGTATGCGTGGCACCAGCACGGAGGCGGGCTCTTGAGGTGGGGGAGGGGGTGGAGAAAGTGTCCTCAGGCCGAGGGACCCTACACAGTGGCCAGAGGGTAAGAACAAAGGCAACAGCTCTGCTCACCTTCCTGGGAAGCCCTCTCACCACCACCACCACCACCCCAGCTGTCTGTGTATCTGGATCCTTCCTGCGCCCGGAGCTGCCCTGGCCGGGACCAGAGTCCAGGACACTCCAGGAGGCAAAAGAGGGATTTGAAAGTGATATGGCAGCAGCCCTCCCCTATAACCTGGAGGCCAGTGACTGGGTGACTCCCCTACCCTCTTCAGGAGTGTTTGTGCCTATCTGTGCTTCATACATCCATTAAACATTCCCCCTACCATCCCCTCACTTTGCCAGGGCCCCTCACTCGTGCCCCTGCCCATCCCAGGCCTGGTCTGTGACTACAAGGAGTGCAGGGAGGAAATGCAGTTGTCTGGCTGGGATGAGAGAGTCTTTGCTACCCTCCTCCTGACCTGGGATGAAATGTGCTGAGGAGTTCGGTTTCTGAGCTCTCAGACCCCTTCAGATCTCCCTTCCTCCACCCCAGCCCTCCCCTCCCTCTCTCCTCCCCTTCCCCTAGCCTCTACAGCAGCCCCCACTCCCACCCCACAGCATGAGTGCCCTCTTCCCCCAATTGGACAATAATAATCACAATGGAGAATCACTTATGCTTCCTTGTGCCTGAGTGCATTTTACCTGGAACAACCATACGGGACTCAGGCCATTTTACAGATCAGGAGACTGAGATCTGGAGAGGGAAGAGACCCAGGCAAAGTTCCCCAGCTCCTCCTGGGCCCAGGGCTGTAAGATTCCAAATCCACACTCTTCACCATGGAGTTCATTCTCAGCCTCAGATACAGGAAGGCAGCTGAGCTGCATGCTCACCCTCAGCCTGCCGCTCCCCAGCCCTGCCCTGCCCTGCCCTGTACATACCTGGTCACCCTCACCCTGCCCCTCCCCAGCCCTGGCCCCCCACCCCCTGCACATACCTGGTCCCCGGGGGGCAGGCACAGCCAGCCCAGACAGCTCCCCATGAGGGCAGAAGCAAGAGTCGGCTCAGGCCCCGTCCTTGCATCTCCTTCTCCCCTCTCCATGCCCTCAGCCTGGGCTCCCAGCCCCCGCCAAGCACAGGGCCCGCCTCTGGGCAGCTTCCTGGGCCGCAGCCCCTTGGGTGTCTACACCCCAGCTGCTGCCCCTAAAAGCCACTTAGGCCGAAGCTGCATGGCTGCTCCCCCACCCCCACCTCCGAGTTCCTGGCTGATGCTGCCATAGGCCCCCACCTGGCTGGCCACCTCCATCTGTCTGTTTGCCTGTCCAGAGGCTGCCTGTCTGGCCTGTGGCTGGCCTCCCTGGACCCAACTTGGTGCTGCTGCCCCTGGAGGCCGTAAGGATGGGTGCGGGCAGTGCGGTCCCAGCATATACCACAGCAGGTGGGGCTTAGGGGTCACCCCATAGCAACCAGGACCACCCAGAATGTGCCATGCTGTAGCTTCAGGGCCACACTGGAGTTGAGGGATGGGAGACCCCCCAGGCTGGGGGGTCGAGAAGGTAGGGGCCCCTGGTCCCCTGGTCCCCTGGTCCCCTGGGTCAGAAGGCTTGGAGACCTCCTCCCCGCTCCGTAGGACAGATGCTCCTCATCAGCCTTGGGCCCTCACCGCCTTCTGCAGCCCAGGACTCAGCCTGTGGGTGAAGATGGATGGGAACAGAACACCACTGGAGGGAGGGATAGCCAGGGGCATGTGGTCACAGGGGCCAGGAACACTGCATCCCAGAATAACAAAGGAGGCCCTAAAGCAGAAAAGGAGCTGAGGAAGTAGCAGGGAAGGTAACAGAGTAACAAAGGCAACATTAGAGTGACAAGGGGGCATAACAAAGGAAGTGGATGACAGCAACAGAGTAAATAAGGGCAGCCAGGGAAGAGCTGCAGGTCACAGTTCCCAAGGGCGCACAGGAATGAGAGGGAGGGAATGGGGTCAGTATGGAGGGCCTGGGATAACAGAGGTGAAGAAAGGGGGCCCAGTGGCTCTCCTGGGCACACTCCCCCAGGCCTCTTCCTCTGGCCTTGGCCTCAGGCGTGGGGCGCTGTGATGGAGGCGAGAGGCACAGAGAAAGGGGCAAAGGCAGCAAAGCAAAGGGACAGAGGGCAAAGGCCCAGAGTGTGGGCTGAAAGGTGTTGGGGGCTGTAAGTTGTTCAGGGTCGCTGGGGAATGTGCTAGGGAGCTAGCTGATCAGTGAGGCCAGCAGCGGCCAGGAGGAGGTCGGGTCGGAGGTGGTCAGAGGTCTGGGGGATCCCCACCCTTGGCGCCCTCATCCCTGTCCTGCCACCTTGCTGCGCAAGCCTTGGGACAGAGGGATAGTGGATCTTTCGTTGCTTCCCTCCCCGGGGTTGTCGGACGGCTCACCCCGGGAGGGCTCACCCTAGGGAGGGCTTGCCCCCGTGATCCTGTTGCGGGGAGGGGGAGGGAGGGGGAGTTTCCTCTGACCTTTGAACCTACCTCCCTGCTGCGACGCCCCCAGGGGTGGGGCGGAGCCTGCGCCTAGGCGGGGACTCTGGGATGTGGCGGTGGGCAGAAGCTTGGTCACAGCCAGAGGAAGGACTGGGGGCCGTCTCGGGGATGGAGCCATTAGCCTGACGCCCGGGTAATGGCCCAGAGCTTCCCAGGCCGGCACCTCCTCCCTAATGGGCATCAATGGCTCCACGGGATGACCAGTCCTCACTTATGGCCTCCTCCCTCAGACTACACCAGGCCTCTCTTCAGAGCCCGAAATCGGAGCAGGCGGGACCACAGCGACGGGAAGAGATAACAAGATACCTAGAGACGAGGTGGGGAGGGAAGGGGAGGGGACGGAGGAGGGGGGGAGAGAGAGAATGCAAGGACCAGAGTGGCCCCGCCCTCGGCCCGCCCCTAGCCCGCCCATCGCCGGAGGCGCGGAGCAGTGACTGTAGCCCGAAAGAGCAGCTGCGCAGCGCCACCTCCCGGCTCTGGGTGGGATGGCATCGTCCGAGGGGCTGCCCTAGGCCCCGCCCCTATGGCTCCGACTCGGTCCAGCCCTGCCTCGCCGGGTGGCGATTGCGGCGAGGCTGACGCCCTAGGGCTGCTTGCACTGCAGGGGCGTAGGAGTGCCACGGAGGTGTAGGCAGAGAAGCCGGGCCTCTGCCGAGCCCCTAATTGGCTCTGCTCCTTCACCTTGGACCTGGCACTAACCTATCTGGACCAGGGTTCCTCCAGGCAACATGAAACCTAGCCCCTCACCAAGTGTCCCGGCACTTGTGACCAAACATTTGAGGACCACTTGGTGCCAAGCGCTGGAGAGCACCGGGGAAACATCGCTGAGACCCCTGGAAACAGGGATCTGTGTACCTGGGCCAGGGGAGGCCCAGGGCTGGGGCAGCCCAAGGAGAGGCATTGAAACTGGCCTGGGGCCCTGGAGTCCTCCTTCAGGGTGGACCAGGGAGCTGTTCTGGAATCTGCCCAGAGTTTCCTGCAGGCTGTGTGGGGAAAGGGAGGGAGCAATGAGACTGGGGGACAGGGCCCCCTGTCCCTGTGGCCTTGCCCCAGAGCATAGATTTCATCCCATCAGTGGTGGGAAGCCCTTGAGGTGCATTGGGAGTAACAAGCTCAGGACACCCATGTTTTGAAAGACTGAGTTCGGCAAGGAGCAGGGGTGGGAGTGGGCTCGGGGAGAGGAGAATGAGGGGTTTGTGACCACCTGTTCCCCCAGTGCAGATCCTGGGGGCAAAAAACTGGGTGGGATCAGGGTAAATAAATTCAGGGGTCCATAGAATCAAAATGAGTCCCCACATTAGAGGACCACATGGGGAGAAGGATGCATCCAGGAGAGCAGAAAAAATTGCCAGTGAGGAGAAGTGGGGGCTTCCAGAGGCCAACGGGGGGGTGTGGGGGCTGGTTCCACATGGGCCTCCCAAAGCCAGCTGGCTAGACAGACATGGGACCACACCTCCTCCATCCCTTGCTGGGTGCCCCAAGGGGAGACCTTGCCACATGGCCAAGGAGGGCTCCAAGGGTAGACAGCATCAGGGCACAGTGACTAGGCGCTTCAAGGTCCAGGACAGTTGTGGGAGTCAGAGCCCACACTGAAGAGGGCTGAGGAGAGACCAGGAGGGTGGTGGGGCCCAGACATTTGTGAGGGGGGAGCTGGAAGGGGGCCCAGGTGGAGGGAGGTCCTTGTTATTCAAGATGGCAGAGTACGTTTACATGGGGGCTGGAGCCAATAACTGGAAATGCAGAGGGGGGAAGAGGTGGAGAGAATGGCTGTGAAGAAGGGGGCCAAGGGGTTCCCACTTCCTCTTTGGACACCTTTGGCTGAGGGGAGGGAAGGGTTCCAAGGAGATCCAGGTTTAACATGAATGCTGGGAGATGGGGGAAAGGCTAGGTAGGCTGCCAGGTCTTGAGGAGGAAACTCTCGGGGAGGACACTCTCCTTAGCCTGGCCAGGGGGCACAGTGAGGGGGCACACTGTGGGGCTCCTGGGAGGCTGGGGTCAGGGCTCTGGCTCCATGGGTACGGCAGATCCCTGCCTTCCTCCTCCTGCACACTTTGGTGGATGGCAGCAGGACTCATGGGCTGACTTGCTCCTGCCCCCATGGGAGACCCCTCCCCTCCTGGGGGACCCTGAGACCTGATCTGATGACCCCACCCCCAAACAGGAGGGGCAGCACTGGCAGAGAAGGGAGAAAGGAACCCAGGCCCCAGCAGTGCCTCTGTCCCCCTTTCTGCCCTGCAAGGACATACAGATCTTGCCGGCCAGGGGGAAGGGCAGGGGGAGTAGGTTGGGGTGGAGCGGGCAGCGGGGGGACCTTTCCCTGGCCAGGAGGGCTCCTGACATTTGCCAGGGCGTGGGCGCAGCTGTTTGCACCCCGAAGCTAGATGGCAAAGTACACATCTTGGAGGAAAAGGGTCGCACGCGGGGGCGCAGGAACCAGGATGGTTTTATTGACCAAATGGCCTGGCCTGGCAGGAGCTGTGCGCCCTGGAGGCCGAAGCGACCCCGCCTGGGTCAGGCGCGGGGGCGCCGCGGGCAGAGGCTGCGCTCATGACGGCCCTTCGGCGAGGTGGGGGCCGGCGAAGGCCGTTCGCTGCGCACACCATGGCTGTGCGGGAGACTCTCTGAAGGCTCTGGAAAGAATAGAACAGGACCATGGGAAGAAGGCTATGCGCCCTCCACTCCCGCCCCCAGGATAGAAAGGTAGAGACTGCTCTGGGAAAGCCTTTCTCGGTGCAGAGTGAGGATGAAAAGGTCGTAGGGTGCCCCGTGGGCACGCGGACGTGCGCTCCGAGCGCAGGTCTCCCAAAACCCCCTCGCCCGCTGTCGTCTCGGCCCCCTTCTTCTCTCCACGTACCTGGCCTGCTCCGCTGAGGTCCAGAAATCGGCGCCCAGCCGCGGCTCGGGTTCGGGCGCGGGCTCCGGGGCGCACTGACGGGGAGTCGCGCTTCCCACAGTCCCTGAACCCCGGAGGGAAACAGGAGAGCATCGCGGACGGCGGGTCCCGGGGAGAGGGTGTCTCTGGCAGACGGCCCCGGGGGGTGCGTGCCCAGGCCTAGGGTGTCCCAGGCAAGGGGTCCAGCTGGGGCACGCAACGTGCGGCGCCACATGTAGGGCGAACGGCGCAGCCCCATGAGCAGGCCCGCGGCGCGGCCCACCGTGTGGTAGCGGGGACTCGCCACGTGCTTGTACCAGGCGCCGGCGGGCAGCGGCAGCAGTAGCAGCAGAAGCAACAGCAATGCGAATAGCGGCCGGCTTGCAGGGGCTCCCCGCCACGGGCCCCGCACCCCCGTGCCCCGCGCCAGGGTGCTCATGTTGATGGCTGCCCGGCGGGGCGGGCCAGGAGTTGGCTTAGCTGGATCTGGGCGCGCGGCGGAATCGGGGCGTCGGGCAGCCAGAGCGCAGGAGGCTACAGGCGAGGAGTTGGTCCCCGGGCAGGTCCAACTATAACTGCTCCGTGGCCCCGCCCCGCTCGCCCCCGCGGTACCCGCTGGGCTCCCGGAGGGTGGGGGAGGGATGGAGAGACAAGAGGAGCCCAGGCTGCTGGGTCCGGAAGGTGGGTTACCAGAGCACTGGGACTCATCTTGACGCTCCGCTGGGGGCGCCCGGCTCCCCTCCTCTCAGCCTGCTCTGCTTCCCCGTCCCTCAGGAGAGGAACTGCCAGAGCCGGGGAGATGCTCCCTTAGCCAGAGCTCTTGCGGGTGCGGCACCAGCAGAGCAAAGACAGGGAGGCAGGCAGAGCCCAAGTGAGGTAAAGCAGGAGAGCTGATTGGTGGGAGCCCTCTGCACCCTTCCAGACCCCTCTGTGTCTCCTCCCCTGAGGACTGTCCCTCAGCCATGTCATCTAACATGGCTCTCAAATCTGTCCCCACACTCCTTCTACACTCTCCCACCCCTAGCTTCTCTCCACCAACCCACTTCCCAGCTGTAGTAGGATGGATGCTTGCAACCACAGTTTTGGCCACATCAAGCCCTCCCTGAGATGGTTAGTGGTTCCCCAAGGCTTTCAGAATAAAGAGTCAGCCTCTTCTCATACCTCTAGCCCTGGCTTGGCTAGGATAAGGCCCTGCCGACGTCCAGCCTCCTGTCTGGTTGTGGTCTCCCTAAGAATACTTTCTCTGGCCAGCCTTAATTTTTTGGCCTTACCAAACAATCGGTGATTTTGCCCACTTCTATGCCTGGAATGTCCTTTCCTTCCTTCTAAACCAGGAAAACTACTCGTCCTTCAGGACCCTACTTAAATGGCCCTTGTCTGAATAATCCCCCAGAGTATTCCTCTGTGCCTGTCTGGCCTTAACAAACCCCTTCCGGAGGACAGGGCTGGCCCATTCTTGCCTGAGTCTCAGCCCAGGGAGGATTCAGCCCTCAAAATAATCGAACCTCCCCCCACATCTCTGCAACCACACCACTCATGGGGCACCTTCTAGACTCCAGACACCAGGGATCCTGAAATATCTTATTTTGACCTCCAAATAATGCCACAAGGGGGGACAATTATTGATTCCATTTACCAATGAGGAAACGAAAGCATGGGGAAAATTGACTTGTTCCAGATCACCTGTAGGGTTAGCAGTGTGTGTGTGGGGGAGTGGCAAACCTAGACCCCCAGCCGAGAGTTCCAGTTTGGAGACCTCAGCTGCAGTTCTCCATGCAAACCTACCATGGCCCTCTGCCTGTCTCTTCAGCAAAAAGGAAGAGGTGATTCTGGGGGTGGGGTGAACACAGTCTGGGCCTGCCCTTCCTCTCAGGACTCTGTGTTGAGAGGGGAACAGGGGGGCTGGAGGTGCAGAGGATGGCCCCTGCTTCTGAGGCCTCAGGGCCCTAGTAGGTTCGGGCGCTTCCCTGGGGAGGTTTAGAAGCAGCAGTAGCCCTCCCCTCAAAGGCCCCACAGAACCCACGAGAAGGGGCCCTGGAGCTCAGTGCCCTGTGCTCGATGCGGGTGGGTGTGTGGGGAGGGGTACCTGCCTCAGCCTCTCCTGCCTCAGTGTCCTCATTTGTAAATGGAATAATAATAGTAGCCACCTCATCAGCTTGCTGTAAGCATTAATAATCCAGGCGTGGGTCTTGGCACCGTGCTTGGCATACAGTAGGCGCTCAATAAATGGTTGTGGCTACTATCTATTGCTGTTGCTGTTCCAGAGGCTGACCAGCCCCCTAAACTGTCAGTGAGGACACTGTGATGGAGGGGTGACGGCAGGGACTAGGGGGGTAGGGGGTGTAGAGGGAGCTGCCTGTGTGCCTGTGGGGCCCTGGACAGGCCTGGAGGACCGCAGGGACCAGGGGGCCATGTGGAAAGCCACCCCCTCGCCAGCCTTGCCATGCTCCCCTGGGGCCCCTTGGCCTCGAGAGCCTCCTGGAGTGTGCGGTGGGCGGGTGGCACATCACGACGACAGCTGCCAGGGTCCCCTGGCGCTGCCGCCCCCTCCCTCCTAAGGGGATGCAGATGCCCCAGTAACCCCGGGGGACTGCAGCACAGCCTGGGGAGGGTCTAGGGCGCCCCTGGAAGTGGCCCAGGGAGCTTCTGTGGGGAGAACGTCATCAGTATGAGAACTGATCAATTGTGGTCTATAGTGTCATGGAGGTCTCTGTTAGAAAATTGAAGAGAGGGCTGGCCCAGTGGCGTAGTGGTTAAGTTCGTGTGTTCCACTTTGGCGGCCTGGGGTTTGCCAGTTTGGATCCTGGGTGCAGACCTACTCACCGCTCATCAAGCCATGCTGAGGCGGCGTCCCACATAGAAGAGTTACAGCTATGATACACAACTGTGTAGTGGGGCTTTGGGGAGAAAGAATAAGAAAAAAGAGAGGAAAGATTGGCAACAGATGTTAGTGCAGGGCCAATCTTCCTCAAAAAACAAAAAGAAAATTGAAGAGAGCTACAAGTGACAGCGTGGATAAATCTCGAAAACGCAATGCTGAGCAAAGAAAAAAATGCCCTGCACAGTGATGTGTTCAGCATCTGAAGGTTAAGTACCAGCCACTCGTCTGGCTTATTTATGGCTGTGGACCAAAGGACTGAAAGTGTCAGGGCGCAGGCAGCGGATAGAGGCCACAGTGGGGTGCCTGTCAGGTGGAAGTGCAGAGGGCGTGCCGGGAGGGAGCCCAGGGCTGGGTCAGGGCAGCAAAGCACAGAACAGTTTGATGGTCCCTGGAAGCTCCCAATTTGGGGTGCAGAGGAGGAGGGGCTCCATGCCCCGCCCAGCCCTGAGCCCAAGGGCCCAGTGACAGAGGCCTCTACCCACCCTCCCTCCACCAGGGTCAGAGCCACAGCTCCATTGCGGGAAGAGGCGATGATCCTCATAGCCCGTGAGAACTGACTCTCGTTTCTGGGCTCGCCTCTCCTTCATCTGCACAACAGCCCCTCCTAGAAGCCGACTGGGTATGGCTTTGGACTATTTGTACACCGTCTTCCCCTGCAACCGGACCAAACCCTCCTTGGGCTGGGACCACGTCTGCTTTGTACTCACGGCCCCAACCCAAGGCCCAGAGCCTGGCCCCCAACAGGAACTCTGTCCTAAGGATGCAGTGAATGAGCAAATCTCCCTGTTTTTCTTTCTTTCTTTTTTTTTTTTTTGTGAGGAAGATCAGCCCTGAGCTACATCCATGCCAATCCTCCTCTTTTTGCTGAGGAAGACTGGCCCTGAGCTAACATCCGTGCCCATCTTCCTCCACTTTATATGGGACGCCGCCACAGCTTGGCTCGACAAGCAGTGCGTCGGTGCCTGCCCGGGATCTGAACTGGTGAACCCTGGGCCGCCGCAGCGGAGCACGCGCACTTAACCGCTTGCGCCACTGGGCCAGCCCCTTCTTTTTTTTTTAATTGTTAATTTTTATTAAGGTAACATACATTATAAATATAAATGCTAGTATAAGGGGAAAATAAAGTTGTCCCTCCTCAGCCTTTCACATCCCAGTCCTGCTCTTGAGAGGCAACTGCTGCCAACTCCTTCAGCTAGCTGTTTCTTCGAGTATCTACTCCCACATCTTTAAATCATAAATTTCACTGCTTTTCTAAAAATTGGTGGTCTTTTAAGGGGGTATAACATACTTTGGGTAAAGTGTGCACATTGTAACAATTACATTTGTTACATATGCATACACCTGTGTACCCATAGCCCAGAGCAAGATAGAAAAGATTTCAGCTCCCCAGGGGACTCCCGATGCCCCCTCCCAGCCAGAAAGCCCCAGCTAACTCACCTCTCACCTGAGATCAGGGTTTCTCAATCTCAGCACTATTGACGTTTGTGGGGGTTGTTCTGTGCACTGTAGGATGTTTAGCAGCATCCCTGGCCTTTACTCATTTGTGTAGGCAAAATAATAGCCCCTCTCCAAAGATATCTCTGCCCTAGATGTCTAGGAACCTGTGACTACTTACATGGTAAGGGGGAATAAAGTTGCAGATGAGATTAAGGATGCTAATCGGCTGACCTTAATATAAGCAGTGCACCTGGGATTATCCAGGTGGGCCCAATGTAATCTCAAGGGTTCCTAAGTGTGGAGGAGGGAGGCAGAGTCAGAGAAGGACAGGCAACAGTGGCGTGATGCACCTTACAGATGGGGGAAGGGGCCTCAAGCCACGGAAGGCAGGTAGCCTCTAGAAGCTGGAAAAGGCAAGGAAACAGATTCTCCCCTGGAGCTTCCAGAAGGAACACTGTCCACCTACACCTTAATTTTAGCCCAGTGAGACCCATTTTGAACTTCTGAATTCCCGAATTGTAAGTTAATAAATTTGTGTTGTGTTAAGCCATTAAGTTTGTGGTAATTTGTTACAGCAGCAATGGGAAACTAATGCACCAGTAGATGCCAATAACACGCCCACCCCCCTAAAACAATCAAAAATGTCTCCTTGGGGGCAAAACCACCCTTGATTGAGAACGACTGACTTAGATCATGAACAGCTATTTTTTTTTTTTTTGGTGAGGAGGATTGGCCCTGAGCGAACATCCATTGCCAATCCTCTTTTTGCTGAGGAAGATTGGCCCTGGGCTAACATCCATGCCCATCTTCCTCTATTTTGTATGTGGGACGCTGCCACAGCATGGCTTGATGAGTGGTGTGTAGGTCTGCATCTGGGATCCAAACCCCCAAACCCCAGGCCTCCGAGGCTGGAGCGCACGAACTTAACCACTACGCCACCAGGCCAGCCCCAGAATGGCTATTTTTTAATGTACCTGTTTTAGGCAACATCAAATGGCTTCCTACTGATCTAGATGAAGCTTTGGCTCTCTCGCACCCCAATCACCCCACTTCTCATCTCTCCATCTTCCTGATATGACTTTATCATAATTTTTGGTTAAATCACTAGTCAGTGTTTATAGTATTATGACCATGTATGGTTCTCTGCTGAGCTGAGTAGTGTACTATGATTACACATCTTCCTTCATTCATAGCTGTCTTATTATTTTCCTTTGCTTGTTTTTCTATACAGGTATATCTCATTCCATGAAGCTTCGCAGATATTGTGTTTGTACAAGACCCTCCACCAGCAAAAA